ATGTAATTCTGTTGATCTCATATTTGTTCTACTCTGCCAATACTAATGAAATACATGCTGATGCTTCACATTGAGTCTCCTGCATCAATGGTTGACAATTATTTTAATCATCCTGCTAATATTTGTTCTACTGTCATACTAATAAAGTGATGATGATGAAAACATGTTAAATGCTCTGTTAATGAACAACTGTCCACATCAAATTGCTTGACTGTTGACAAACACTCTATCAACACATGATTTGGCATAAAGATTAGGGCATCCTAACCCTACTGCATTGCATAAAGTCTTGTCTCCCCTTCCAAATCTGTCTCTCTTACTGAAAATCTGAGTCTGTCTACCAAGTGTCTATTTTTGTGATGCTTGTCAGTTAGAAAGTTACATCAAAACATTTTCCTTTGTCTCCAATCACATGCCACAGAACCCTTAGCTCTTGTTCACAGTGATTGTGGGGTCCTGCCCCAGTCACTTCAGTAAAGGATTTAAGTATTGTCAGTTTCTAGATGATTTTAGTCGGTCACCTGGCTGTTTCCTCTTAGGACTAAGCTGAAGTTAAATCTATCTTTATCAAGTTTCATCACCTTGCTGAGAGACAGTTTGGAACTAAGCTAAAGTTTCTTCATCAGATCAAGGAGGAGTACAAAGCCTTACTTCCTTATCTGATTGAAAATGGTATTCAACCTAGGTACTCATGTCCTTATGTCCCACCAGCAAAATGGCCGTAGTGAGAGGAAACATAGACATATTATTAAACAGGACTTACCTTATTAGCCCATGCTCCATGCCCTTAAAATTGGTGGCTGTCTTTGAAACACAGCATTTCTCATCAACCGCTGCCCACTACTGTCTTGAATAATAACACTCCCTATTATCTACTTTTTAATAAATATCCTGTGTATAATAGTCTTAAAGTGTTTGATTGCTTGTTTCCCTTTTCTTCGAAATTTTCATAATCACAAGTTTGATTTCCATTCCTCAAATGTGTTATTTGTTGGGTATAGTTTACTTCACAAAGGTTATAAATGTCTAAGGGCTGATGGGAAGATCTTTATTACTCCTATGTGTTAATTTAATGAAATGAGTTTCCATATTCTCTAAGGCTTATAAGCTTCCTATCAACCAGCATTGACTTCATCAGCAACCCTTCTAATACTGATTTCAGTAATACCCTCCACTACCATATACATTTTTCCAGTATAATCCATCCTCAGCACCTCTGATCCCCAAGGTAACTGGCTCTCAGACTTATCCTAACATCCAGCAGTTGGCACTTACTCTTCAGCAGCAGGTACATCCTCTTTACGCTTGACTGATTCATCCTTACCTACTATCTCTAAAATGGCAGAACAATCTGATTTTTCATTAACACACTAGTCAATCAGAATCTAATTCTCGCAGCTTTGATCCAGTGTCTCAATTACCTGTTGTTTCTTCCTCCACAATTTGCCAACATGTCATATTGAAGTTGTCTTGATACTTCAATACCAGCCTGTGATCCTACATCTAGTTGCAAGTTCCTAATTCTAATCCACATCTAAAAGCACACTCTGACAATTCTGGTACATCTTTGCAACCTGCTCAATTTCAACCTAGTCGGTCTTGTTCTTCTCCATCTCCATTACCTACCAGTTCATCATAGGTACTTCACAAAATTGCCACCTTGAAGTTGACCTTACCACTTCACAGTTCCCTAATGCTCAACTACCTATCAAACTTAATTCTCACCCTATGGTTACAAGACCAAAGCTGCTGCTGGTAATGTTAATTCCACATGTGAGTCTTTGGATCATGCTGTTTATCTCACAGCCAGTCAGCCCATTATAGAATCAGAACCTTGTCAGTTGCTGAAGCTTTGAAAACTGGAGCTTGGAAAGGGCTATGCAGGCAGAGTTTGATGCTCTTGTTAGAAACAACACCTGGACTCTTGTTTTCTCCTACTGCAGACATGAATATTGTTGGCAAATAATGGGTTTTCAGAACAAAATTGAATCCTGATGGACTTTGCAGAAGTACAAAGCCAGGCTAGTAGCTAAGGGGTTTCAACAAACTCCTGGTTTGGACTATTTTGAGACGTTTAGCCCGTTATCAAACCATCCACAATCAGATATTTCTCACTTTAGCAGTAACTAATGCATGGGATTTTCAACAAATTGATGTCAACAATGCCTTTCTTAACGGTACTTTAAGTGAGCTAGTGTTTATGCAGCAACCAAGTGGATTTGAATCAGCTGCTCACCCTTCATATGTGTGCAAATTAAACAGGCACTATTGCCTTAAACAGGCCCCTAGGGCATGGTTTGATAAACTCAAGGCTGCTCTCCAAGCCAAAGGCTTTCAAAACTCAGTTTCAGATTCGAGTTTATTTGTTCTTAAGAAATCATCAGGACTAATCTATGTTCTTGTTTATGTAGATGATATTTTAATCACTGGTTCTGTCGCCTATATAACAGTTGTTGGAAGATTAAATGAGCAATTTGCCTTGAAAACTCTAGGATCCTCAAATATTTTTTGGGCCTAGAAGCAGTTAGGACAGCCGCTGGTTTACATCTCGGCAGTCCAAATATGCCTCAGACTTGCTTGTCAAAACCAGATGATGGATGCTCACCCATGCTCACACCAATGGCTGTTGGTACTAGACAAAGTACTGATGGATTTATTTGAAAGTCCTACATTATATCGCAGTACATAGGAGCTTTGCAGTACCTACCATTGACTAGACCAGATATTAGCTTCACATTAATCGTCTTAGTCAGTTTTTACAAGCTCCAACTGAGTTACAATGGCAGCATGCAAGCGAGTCCTTCATATGTTAAAGGGACACTACACTATGGGTTTGCAGTTTAAAACCACAAGTTCTCTAAACATTGAGTGCTATGCTGATGCGGATTGGGTAGTAATGTTGAAGATAGGAGGTCTACTAGTGGATATTGTGTCTATCTTGGACCTAATCTATTACAGTGGCCTCAGGAAACAAAATTTTGCGTTATCATCCACTGAAGCTGAATACAGGGCATTAGCACAAACTGCTACAGAGTTTGCATGGCTTCAGAGTATGCTTACTGAACTCATCATCTTCACCTGCCCTCGAAACCTGTCATTTGGTGTGACAATACAAGTGCTGGAGCATTGGCTTACATCAGTGTTTCACGCACGAACAAAACATATAGAAATAGATGCTCACTATATTAGGGAGCAAGTTCTTGCCAAGAATTTGACAGTTCAGTATGTACCATCGAAATTGCAGATTGCGGATGTGTTAACAAAGGCTTTATCTGCTGCTCAATTCACTGAGCTGAGGCAAAAACTAAATGTGGTTGTAATTTCTTGTAATCTATACTGATTCTTATCTGTTTCTGTAATGCAGAAGAAGACCAAAATACACCTGGAAAGTAGTTGAAATCTGCTGTTGAAAAATGGTTGAAAAATGCATTTTACTGATTTACTGTATTTCTATGTCTGTGCTACCAGTTCTGTAGTACAGAAAGTGACAGATTCTTTTTTGAATAAATTATGGTAGAGTTTAGAGTTGTGGCAGTAGTGACAGATGGGTGAGTTGAAGTAGTGGCAGATTTTTATTTGTATGTTTTTGAGATAGTTTACAGAAATGAGAAGAATTGGGTGTAGAGTTGTTAAACTGGATGTTGTGGTTGAACTGTATGATTGAGACAGGAGTTGTTAAGTTGAGTAGTGAGATATTGTTAAGCTGAAGTTGCTGAGATATTGTTTTGAGCTGGTTGGTTTATTCCTGGTACTGATAAGTTGATTACTGATGAGTTGGGTGCAGAGTTGTTAAACTGGATGTTGTGGTTGAACTGTATGATTGAGACAGGAGTTGTTAAGTTGAGTAGTTGAGATACTGAAAGTTGAAAGCTGAAACTAGAATTGAAGAGTTGTTTTTTGCATTGGTGTTGTTTTTCTTACTGAAAATGTGCCACTGATGAGTTGATCTACTGAAAATTGCAGAGTTGTTTTTGCATTGGTGTTGTTTTTCTTACTGAAAATGTGCCACTGATGAGTTGATCTACTGAAAGTTGAAGTTGTTTTTCTTGCAAACTGAAAAAAAAAAAACTGGAAATGGAAATGTGTTGCTGCAGAGTGATCAGTTGAAGTTTATTCTTGGTACTGATAAGTTGATTACTGATGAGTTGATCTACTGAAAGTTGAAGTTGTTTTTCTTGCAAACTGAAAAAAAAAAAAAAACTGGAAATGTGTTGCTGCAGAGTGATCAGTTGAAGTTAAAACTGGTGAAACAAAAATTGCAGAGAAATTGCAGAGTTTTTTTTTTGCATTGGTGTTGTCTTTTTGCAACTGAAAATATGCTGCTGCAAAGTGATCAGTTGAAATTAAAACTGAGTGATCAGTTGAGTGAAAAGCTGCTCATCTTAAACTGACAATACATATGGAGAACTGAAGTTGAGCTACTTATCCTGAGTAACTAAGTAGCTGAAATTGAAGAAGTTGAGTATGTGTTATCTCGAGGGGTTATATGAACACAAAGGTATCAGACAGATAATTTTGTTCAGAAGGGGTGTTGGTAAAAGAACCAATAAATGTGGAATGCTAGTAGCAGAAAGATTGATGAAGCAGCAGAAGGAAGATGTCTAGTTTGAGAGGGGATGTTGGTCAAAGGACGTAAACTGCAAACAATCCAAATAGCAGGAGGACATTGTAATTCTGCAATACGATGCCGTTTTTGCTTTCAGTTTGTAAAATACACTTTACTTCTTCTCTTTACTTTTCATTCTTGTGTCTGTATATAAAGAGTAAAGTAACTCTTCACTGTAGCAAGAAACAATTGAATCATTCAAATACGAAGTTAAACATTTTCTCTGTTTTTTTTTCTGTTTCATTTTGCAAACCCTAAGCTAAAATCACAGTGGTCTCCTAAGAATCAATGAACATATATACTATATATTTTCAGTAAAAAAAAAAAAAAAAAAAAAGACTTTGTAATAATATTTTCATAATAGGCACACCAACTCAAATCAAACATGCTCAATCAATGTCTTCACCAAACGTAACAATCATAATGACCAAAACACCCATCTCCAAATTGATTTTTAATTTGGAGTCTATCCCATGCATCTTTAGGCATTTCACAACTTGCAAAGTTTTTCATTTGTCCTATACTAACAGCATTAAAAATTGCATGAAGAGCTTTAGAGTTAAAATTGGACGCTTCTAACTTTCCTTGACTCCCGCTAGCTTCATTAGTTTTAGGTTCTTGCCAACCAACCATACAAGCATGCTAAACCCTCTCATCAATAGGTTTTAAAAAGGCACGTATCATAAGCCTTCAAAAGGTATAATTGGTTCCCTCCAACAAGGGTGGTCTAGTGGTAGACCCTCCTTCACCAAAAGAACTCATGATGAACAAACAGTCAGTGTAAGCGCACAAGACTTCAGTGGTTACCTACAAAAACGTAAGACAAAAGGTGACAATACACACATAAAGGTGGTCACAATCAAAAAATCCAACATGGGGTGATCACACATCTCCAAGTTGGTCACACAAGGTCTGTAGCAAGAGAACTGCAGAAAAATGACAAAAATAACTAGAACAAAAACATATAAAAAATGCGATAAAAACACAATCAACAAGCAAGGATCAACTAAAATAACTTTCCAGAACATGCTCTGATACCAATTGAAAGTTTTAATTCCTTTACCAAGTGAATTAAACCTAAGGGGAAATGGTTGCTAAGTTGATTTTAAGAGTTCTTTGAATATAATCATAAAGCAATAAAAATAAATCAAAATAAAACAATACCAAATTTTTACATGGCTCGGCAAAATGCCTACATCCATGGGACCAAGTCCATAATGAAGCTAATCCACTAGGTTTACTTTACAGTTCAATTACAAAGTAGAGATTAAGCCTCAGTTAAAAGAACACCCCTGTTTTGCAATACTTCAATCTATACCCTTTGGTTAAACAACGTACAGTTATAGCTAGCTCCAAGAACACCCAACCAACTAGTCAGCCTTGAGCTCCTCTCAAGGTACAGAAACGAAGACACACTTTGGTTGAAGAAGCTCAACAAGTTTCATACATCAGCTATGAACAAAACATAGAGAGCAAGGACGCATTGTAGGTATTTGAATGAATGTATTTTTAAGCTTTACCTAAGCATAGAAACCTGAAAAAAAAAAAAAAATTCAGAGAATTTCAAAGTACTTTTCAGGGATAATATTAGGCTTGAAAAACGAGTGCATTGGAGAAGAGTTTATATAAGAAAAAAACTGGCCAATGCAAGGGATGGGTGGCTAACAATAACTTTATGGATTTCAATTTTATTAAAGTTATACTCTATTATCAAGATGCCCCCTATCAAAGAGAATAAAACTTTCCAGCACATTGAATATCAATTTGACAAGTGTTATAGACCACACAAATAAGAGAATAAAACAGCTCATTGAATTTTAAAAATACAACACGATTTACCTAATAATATATGCCAGATACATTGTGATCACTCTGACTCGGAGGTGCTCACCCGATATAACAGATAAACAACATAAAAGAAGGTGGTCACTTTAACACAAGGTGGTCATATTGGAAAATTTAAACAAAATGATTGTGGTAAAACAAAGTGAGGTGTTCATGCTATGATTGAGAGTTACCGCTCTAGATTTATAAGTTGACAAAAAAACTTACATGAACCTTGATGACTGTTAACACATCATAATTTCATAATTGAAATTGAGTGGCGTGGAAGTATTATTCTTCATAGTGAAAAGTTCTGTTGGTAAAGAATAATTGCCAATTTCTCAGGCACCTGTATTGACAAAATGTGAGATATGACCGAATTAAGTCACATTGTCAAGTTCTAAAGATTGGTGGAGCTGCATGTCTTGACATGACAAAAGGAGCAATCTGTTGACTGCTGAAAATATCCAGTATCTCCAGGACAACTGAATTCATTGTTAGAACAGTTCCCATATTGGTTAACTTTTTAGGCATTTGATTTTACTTTCCTTCCGTTAGCAACGAGAATAATTGGTTAATTTTGAAATAATACAATCAACAATAAGATTGTATTGGCTGACCAAATGAATGACTACAATACCATCAAAGACTTATCGCAGTTGACTATACGATCTCTGATAGAAATGTTGCTAAAATCTTTTAAGATTCTGTATATTAATATATATTTTACTTGAATATTTCTAAAATAGATTACTTTATCTCTAGAATAAACTGAAGAGGAATGATCCTATTGATTTCAATCACTGCAAGAAATTTATACAATCGTGAAAGTATCAGAAAGACTATTTAAGTTTTTAGTCGTCAACAACTCGCTAGTGTGTCAATTAAATTGGGGAACTATTAACGCCTGCACCAGTGTTAATTTTCTATTTGTAAAGCCGTACACGCAATTGACATAAATGCATTACCAAGAGCACCACTGCTTCAAGTGACTTTCCACAATTACTAGTTCCATTGAACAAGTAAAGCCGGAAATCATGTACAAGAGCAAAACTTATACAGATGGTCACCATAAATTGCGTAGTCACTTCCACTTTCTGCAGAAGAAAAAGTAAATTTGACTCTACCTGATTGGTTATGAGATTAATATATAGTTTATCGAATTTAACACTGCTCTCACTGTTGTTGTAGGCTACATGCCTTAAATTTGTGTTAGTGTTCACTATTTTGCTCCACATCAAGTGGCATGCAGCCATGAAAATATGTAGAAGAGGACAAAAATCTGTAAGCAGAAACAGACATGAAAACCCCTCAGCTTAGTTCCCATATTCATTATCTATCTTAAATACATATCTTGTTTTTAGTACTCGATATTGGAAGACTGAAGGTCAATGCATGGAATAATAGGAACAAATTCCCTCACCTTAGTTCTAACGTACCAAAACAACATTCAGAATGACACTCCAGCAAGTTATTAACAATAATTTCTTCAATTTCATACGCATCGAGTTACTGTCAGTAGCAGAACTAATTTGACCTTATGTTCTTGTCCCTCTATAATAGTCAGAATATAGCTTATTACAAGCATGAATCACCTCATTACTTAATTGTTTCCTGCATATTAGTATTGCTGCCTACATTTTGCTTCGAAATATCTTTCATGGCTTCTTTGGGCAAAACTGCACTTATCTTCGCTCTTGTGATTACTATCTTCTATATACCCTCTTTGGAAGCAAGAAGGGTCTTGAGCTTGGAGAAAATAAAGGTCCCTACCCTGGAGGACAATTTGGTTTCAAGTGCCTTTGATAAGGACAACTAAAACACCTCCTGGTGGAATTCATCAGTTCCAAGTCCTGGAATTGGCCATAAGCCATGATCTCTCCAACTTCATTACCTATATAATATAATCGTTGAATAAGCTTATTCTTAATGTCTATGTCAGTGTTATGATGTTGTTCTGTTGAAAAATGAAATTGAGTCATCAGTGAGAGTGCTATGTTGTGAGCACATATATGTATGGTGCATCATTGAGATATAGCATTCAAAATGTTCATGTACTTTCTAATAATAGAATAATATACGCTAGCGCTAGATGCGCCTAGCTATTATTTATTTTAGGGCCAATGTGACATTATTTTAAACACCATTTCTAGTATGTTTGTCTAGCATCAGAATGATCATTGAATCTATTTGATGGTGAAATGGTCAATAACTAATATTAAGAGATTCAATGATAAAAATCAAGTTTTCGTTAATATCAAGGGCTGACTTGGGTGCATGTGTTAGCAGGATAATGAAAGGACTTTTAGAATTAAGGAGTTTCAAGTTACCACTGCCGCTATGAAAGGGCATGTAACTTTAGAAGTAGTATAATCATCTCACTCGTCAATACCAATCTCCATTCAGCAGTAAATTCAAGAGTGGCATCTGTGGACAACTCCATTGGCAGACCAAAGAATGACTGGGCAAGTGTATCTAGTTCTATAAGATATGTATAATAATTAAGGGTAATGGTCTTTCCTTTCTGTAATAAACTCCTTTACTCGTGTGCATCTGAGGGTATTCTAGAATATGAATCCGTAGTCTCTTTTTCCTTCTTCTCCTTTGATTCTTGATTTCCATTGAATAAACTAACAAGTTCGACTGATGGCCTTTGTTATGCTTAGACTTTTCTTAATTTGCAAATAGTCTGTGAATGGCTTTCTGCAATGGTGGATCCAGTGAGTTAAAAATACGCTCAACTCCAAATACTGCCTGGAACTTGTCACTCAAACGTTTAACTAATAGAAAAGTAAAATCCTGCAAGTTAGGTCTGAGAACTTGAAAAAGATAAACTGAAGTTTCTAGAGAAAAGCACAATTTCAGTAGCTTATTTTCTAACTGAATGAATTGAGCTTACATGAGATTTGTTCTTATACAATTGAGAAAGAGAAAAACGTTAACTGAATAATTGAGAGAAAGAGTAAGTGCAGAAAGTGAAGAGAAGAGTAAAGTAACATGAATTGAAAACGACGTCACTTTGCATTTAGTAAAGTGCCAAGCAGAAACGGCACCGTCTTGACCTTTTGCTGATACTTCCCCTTAAGCAAAACGGTTCCTTTCAACTCTCAACTTCCCAGCATTTTGACCTTTTGCTGATACTTCCCTTAAGCAAAACGGTTCACTTTCAACTCTCAACTTCCAAACATTTTGACCTTTTGGCTGATACTGCCCTTAAGCAAAAGGTTCACTTTTCAACTCTCTCAATGTTCCACTCAAATCAACTTCTCAGTTAGATCAAATCAATTTCTCAAATCGCATTAATCTTGTAACTTAAACATCTTCTGAAGTCAACTCTAAAATAAGCACATTAAACTTCAAAGAAAAAAAAAAAGAGGGCAGCAGATCTGCAGCTCTGCACCAATTAACTCCTCAAACCAATCTACATTAATCTGCAGTTTTACACTAATACTTGCAGCAAATCTGCAGTTCTGCAACAATTAACTCCTCAAATCATCTGCAACAATTAATCTGCAGTGTGACTCAACTGCAATCATCTGCAACAATTAACTCCTCAAACCAACCTACATTAACTGCAACAATTAATCTGCAGTGTGACTCAACTGCAATCATCTGCAACAATAACTCCTCAACCAACTACATAATCTGCAGTTTTACACTAATAGTTGCAGAAATCTGTAGTTCGCAACAATTAACTCCTCAAATCAAACCAACCTACATTAATCTGCACATAATCTGCAGTGTGACTCAACTGCAATTCAATCATTAAACTTGCAGTTTTACAATAACACTTGCAGCAAATCTGCAGTTCTGCAATAATCAGCTCCTCAAACCAACTTGCATTAATCTGCATTAATTTGCAGTGCAAAGTAACTACAACTCAACCTTAAACTTGCAGTTCAACTTAACCATTAAATCTGCAATTCAACATTAATATTCACAGCAAATCTGCAAAACAGAACACCATAAACCGCAGTTCAACTCAACCATTAAACTGTAGCTCTGTAACAATTAATCCCTCAAATCAACCAGAGCCAGAGGCCTCTGTAAAGCTCGAATTTCCCTCAGTTTCAGTCACTCCAACAATAGTGAGCTTACCCTTTAACTCATGAAACTGAGCAGCAGACAATGCTTTAGTCAAAACATCCGCATTTGCAGTTTTGAAGGAACATACTGCACAACTATTTGTTTTGACAGAACCTGATCTCTGATGTAGTGAGCGTCAATTTCGATATGTTTGTTCTTGCATGAAAAACAGGATTCGCTACCAAGGCTCCTGCACTGACATATCACACCATATCACTGGAACAGTAGGCATTTTAACCCTAATTCTGAAAAACACTTTGCAGCCAAGCGATTTCAGTGGCTGTGTGGGCTAAGGCTCTATACTCAGCTTCAGTAGAACTAAGAGCAACAACTTTTTGCTTGCGAGAGCTCCACTGTATCAGATTAGGTCCTAGGTAAATGCATAGTCAGCCCTTGTTGACCTTCTGTCATCCAAATTACTTCCCCAATCTGCATCTGCATAACATTCAACACTTAAGGAGGCTGCTGGTTTAAATTGCAGACCATGATATTGTGTTCCCTTGATAAATCTGGGCACTCTCTTGCAAGCTTGCCACTGGAGCTTTGTAAGTGCTTGAGGAACTGACTGAGTTTATTACACAGAAGCTATATCGGGTCTGGTTAATGTTAAATATTGTAATGCTCCCACTATATTCTATAGAGACAAGGATCCTCAAACAAAGGACTATCAGTGGAGAAAGTTTTGTGCCAACAGTCATTGGAGTTGGACAGGCATGTGCTTCAAGCATTCTGTTTTGGTAAGTAGATCAACAACATATTTTGTTTGCGGAGGTGAATTCCTGAGATGTTCTGAGGGCTTCTAACCCCAGAAAATATTTGATTGATCCAAGTGTTTTTAGGGAGAATTAAGGTTCAAATCTTGAACAAGTTGAAGAATAAATAAATGGTTGGATCCAGTGATGAGAATATCATCTACATAGATGAGAATATAGGTTACTTGATCCCCATTTTTAAGGATGAAGAGGCTGGAATCAGATATGGAATTCTGAATCCTTTGGTCAAGAGTGCCTCCTTCAACTTGTCAAACCAATCTAGGAGCTTGTTTAAGACCATAAAGGCCTTATTGAGCTTGCATACATGAGATGGAAACTGAGGACACTCAAAGCCTTCCGGTTGCTTCATAAACACAGTCTCATTCACAAGTGCCATTAAGGAAGCATTATTTACATCAATTTGTTGTATGTCCCAATTATGGGTGACTGCTAAAGAAGTACAATTCTGATGGTTGAAGGTTTGATAACGGGCTGAAAGTTTCAAAGAAACGGCCAGGTGTTTGTTGAAAACCTTTTGCAACTAGCCTAGCCTTGTACTTTTGAAAGTCCCATCAGCATTAAATTTAACTCTAAAAACCCACTTGTTCCAACAATGTTCATATCAGAACTCTTAGGCACTAATGTCCAAGTGGTTCTTGACAAGAGCATCATACTCACTTTGCATATCTTGCCAAGCTTTGCCAGCTAAAGCCTCTTGAACTGTAGAAGGTTCAGGCTGAACCTCTATATTTCCAGAAGTGATAAGGGCAGTTTTGTTATCAACTGCCTTTGCTCTAGTGACCATAGGATGTTGATTCTTAACACCTTCAGAACCAATGGTAGCAGGAAATTGTGAAGGATCTAAATCAACTACAAGTGAGCACGTGGGAAGTTTGTGGTATGTGGGGATGATGTGTTTGGAAAGTGAGAAGGGGCTAAGTCAATAACAAGAGAACGATTAGGTAAAGATGTGATGGGATAGAGAGTTTACCAATGTGAGGAAACTGTATTGGAAATTTTCAGAATTGAAATTTACAATCAGGAGCAAGATGGAATTCGAGAACAAGGAATGAGATTGGAGTTACCTTGACAATTGTTGGAGTAGAACTGGTTGAAAACAGTTTTCACAGGAGCAGCTGTGGCAGGAGCTATATCATTTGAAGATAAGTTGTGTAATGTAGAACAAAAGGAAATTGAAACAGGATTTATTTGAGTAGATGAAGGCTGAGGTGACAGATTGGATTTAGATTGTGAATGATGACTAGAGAAGTTACAATTCTCAGCAAATGGAAACTCTTCTTCATGAAACCTGACATTAGAGTGATAAACAGCTTTCCTGTAGGACTTAAACACTTAAAACCCTTATGCACAAGACTATAACCTATGAAAACACATTTCAAAGTATGGAAACTAAATTTATGTTGATTAAAGTCTCTAATGTGAGGAAAACATGAACATCAAAAACTTGAGAGAAGAATAAAGAGGTGATCTATGAAACAATGTTGATAAGGTGACACAAACTGTGAACAGATGAAGATTCTGTTGATTAAAAATACTGCAGTTTCAAAGGCACACCACCAAAAATGCAATGGCATGGATGCATGGGCAAGTGTGTTAACACCTGTTTCAACAACATGCCTATGTTTTCTTTCACTTCTTCCATTTGGGAATGAACATATGCACATGAATGCCTAAACATAATGCCATTTTGTTCAAGATATGGAATTAGACCTTATACTCACCACCTGATCGGATTGTAAGCATTTTAGTTTGTAACCAAATTGTCTTTCTACTAAAGATGAAATTTAATGAAAACTGAATGAGTTTCAGCTTTAGTTCTTAGAGGAAAAAGCCAAGTGAACCTACTGAAATCATCTACAAATTGTACATAGTATCTATATCCTTCAAATGAGACTATAGGAGCAGGTCCCCAAAGATCACATGAACTAAAAAAAGGTTCAGTAGCTCTAGATGAAGAGGAGGGAAAACTATTTTTGTGCAACTTTCCAAGTTGACAAGCATCACAAATGACATGGAGTGAGGAATTTTTGACTTTACTAAAGGATCACTGTTAATTTGACTTATAATCTGACTGAAAACTTCAGTATGAGGATGGCCAAGTCTTTTGTGCAAGTTAAATTCTTTTCTAAACTCTTATAGTTTGAAGTTCAATGCTAGTGTAGATTCGGACTTAAGTCAGAATCTTGTGTAACTACGGACTTAAATCAGAACTAGATGTTAAATACGTATCAACTTCAAGTTAGATTCACACAATGCAGGTTCATATAAGGTAATTCAGTAGAGGAATCAATAGAGGAATCAGTATTTTTATTATGAGCAGAGGAATTATTACACATACTCAAATGAGACTTCAATTGTCATTTAGATTCTCAGAGTTATTAGAGTCTTCTAACATAGACATTACACAAAATGAACTGGAACAGATTTTACTAGTGAGATTGTAAGGCAGACAAAGGATTTAACACCAACTGAGACAGATTGATCATTGCAATTTGCAGGATAGGTAGAGGTAAGATTCAACTATAGTCCTGCTTTAAGCTCTCCCTGCAGAAGGACTGTTTTGGTAACCTTGTCCTTAATAACACAACATCAGAATGAAACTCAACCACAACATTATTGTCTTTAGTAAACTTTGAAATATTAAGTAGGTTTTTTGTTATATTAGGGACACACAAACATTTTTCAAATGGAGGCATTTAGATTGCAAGGAACTAGGTAATGATGTAAAGCCAATATGAGAAACGTTTAGGAACTCACCATTGCCAACTTGTAATTGCTCAGCTCCCTCATAATTCCTGCTGCTATGATTTGACTCAGATCAGAGTGACATGATCAGTAGCCCAGAGTCCATATACCAGGCTGGATCCTGTGCAGTAGTCTGGTTTGCAACCAATGGAAGACCATTTGACAAGTGAGGAGCTGCAAAATAAACCTGACTAGGTGAAAAAGACTGCTGACTGGGAACTTTGAACACTGAATTTCCACCATTAGAAGCTGATTGAGTAAGTTGTTGGCCTCTGGAGAATTCTTGAGTAGAGTGAAATCCATGGGAGGAATGAGCAGGATTAGGTACAAATTGAGACTAATTCCCAGTATAAGAATTACCAGCAGTAAAATTGTGCAGTTGTTGATTTCCAAAGTTACCAGATCCAAACCGACTGCCATATCCAACAGAATTGTGTGTAGGAAGAAAGTTTCCTAAATTTCCAGAATTGAAAAAGCCAGAAGACTCAAACTGTGGTGGAGATCCAAACTGTGGAGGAGCTCCATTGTAGTTGGAGTTGTATCTATGGTAACATTGGACTGCTGTATGTCCTATCTTGCTGCAGACTTGACATATAGGTCTTCCCTTAGCATTGCCTCTACCACGACCTTTGTTGTAGTTATTGAAACCTGATGGTCTATAGGTATGAACCTGTGATTCAAACTGTCCTGAATAAGAGGTTGGACGAAAGTGACCAGGTGAACCAGCAAATCCAGAGGGTGGTATATAGTGAGAGGAATAGGTCTGATACGGCTGTGAAATAGGCATTGTAGTTACAGCAGATGCAGGCACAAAAGTATTACCAGAATTACCATTACCAGAATTACCAGAATTACTAGATATGCCTGACGAATTACCAGAATTACTGATTGCAGCAAGATGTACTGAACTGTTTGGGAAATCCACAGTGTTGAATTTTTCAATACGCATTTCATACTTTTGCAGCAAATATTATGCTTCTTGTAACGTAATAGAGTCAAATTTAGATTCAATTCTGGATGTTAAATTGACGACAACAACGTCAAATTCTGGTCCTAATCCATCCAGAATATGTTGAAGTAAATCTTCATCCAACACAACCTGACCACTGCAGTTCAAACTTTCGGCAATTCCTTTCATCTTTTTAAAGTAATCACCAATTGTTAAATTTCCTTTTTGAGTACTTTGTAATAAAGTTTTCAAATGTAGAGCTCTAGCCTTTGAATCACTCAAAAATTCATGTTCAAGTGTAAGCCAAATGTCAGTAGACGTCTAACATTTTGACACAGAGCTAAACATGCATTCTGAAATAGACGCTAATAACCAAGTAACAAGGAACTTATCAGTGCGTTTCAAGCTAAATAAGCTGGATTAATACGATGTCCAGTACTAGATTTTACCTCATCTTTTGACCTAGATTCAGTTGATTCAACTAAGATTTCAGGCTCAGACACAATTAAAGGTTCTGGACAGGAGATAAAACCTGTTAAGTGGCCATCAAGCTCATGTGCTCCTACTGCAGAAAGAATTTGAGACTTCCAGAATCGGTAATTATCTTTGTAATTATCTCGTGTGAGCTTCGGATGAACAACCTGGAGACTCGTCGGAAAAGCTGAAGAGAAAGAGGTCGAGGAGCTCTGCATGACTTCATTCAAATTACTGAAGGAATTGCTAGATGAAGAAAGATTTGCCATTGACGCTAGTCTATGGCTCTGATACCATGAGAACTTGAAAAAGATAAACTGAAGTTTCTAGAGAAAAGCACAATTTCAGTAGCTTTATTTTCTAACTGAATGAATTGAGCTTACATGAGATTTGTTCTTATACAATTGAGAAAGAGAAAAACGTTAACTGAATAATTGAGAGAAAGAGTAAAGTGCAGAAAGTGAAGAGAAGAGTAAAGTTAACATGAATTGAAAACGACGTCACTTTGCATTTAGTAAAGTGCCAAGCAGAAACGGCACCGTCTTGACCTTTTGCTGATAAGGTCCAAAACTAATAATTAAATCATAATATGTGGAGCAGAATTTGTGATCCCATTGACATTATTTACATAAATATCTCTGTTTATTCCATTACGTTTGTGCAATTATCTGGTAAAGGGGGCCGGGGTTACTGAAGAAAAAAGCATATTAACTCTCACGTTTAGACTCAGGACAAAGCACACAAAAACTAGGAAACAAAGTTCCACAGCTAGTTCAAATTTACCTAACCCAACAATCACAGGGCATTTCATGGCACACTTAGTGATTGACAGTAACCAAACTAATTAGACCTTAGTGCCTCTCTTCCCCTATAAATACAAAGAGAACACAATGCAATATCATCTCATTACTTAAATATCTTCTCTTTTCAGCAATATTGCCTACAGATTTCCCCTCCCGAAATTTTACATGGCTTCCTTGAGCAAAACTCTTCTTACCTTTCTTCTTGTTGCTATCCTCTATACATCTTCCTTGGAAAGCAGAAAGGTCCTGAGCATAGAGAAAATGGATGTTCCTTCTGATCTGGTGGACAGTTTAGTTCCAAGTGCCCTACAAAAGGGTTCTGCTACATTTTCTCCCAGTGGTGAAAGTTACAAAGTTGCTATAAATGAAGGGCTGATTAACAGGCACATTGCCAGGGATGACCGAATTTTGAAGTCTGTTCCAAGTCCCGGAATCGGCAATTAGACAACCTTTCCTCACAAAACAGATATCTATAAGTATAATTTGGGTTAATAAATCTATCTTCCTATAATTGCAAGCCCTCGTCTATATTATTCTTCTAATTATGTTGTTGTATAATGTATGCACAAATCAGACGGACCAATATTCATAATTACCTGTACTAATTTTTCTGGTCTGGCATGTCATACTTATATATACTATCTCTCACCGATTTATATAATTGTTTAACAAATTTGTCTTAAAGTTTTCTGTGTGTTATTTCATTTTGTTATATCAAAAAATTCAGTCTGTCTAGTCACTCAACGGGTGTGTGAATGCATGTCGGTGCAAAGGTTTTGCGTCAAAGGATGAGCTGAAATCGGGGGACATTGTCTCCTCTGATTGTAACCCAACAAGCTTCTGGCACAAAAGTGCATGGTCAGAAAGGCTGGTCCCGATACACAATTCATCTTTTCTTGCATCGGTTCTGCATCAATGTAGACCTTATTTCCATGGTGTATGTTGTAATTTTTAGTTCCTATGTATAAGCACCATGAATAATGACAACATATGCTAGCTGCTATTATTTTCCTTTTGGAACATAATAATAGTTATATGAGTGCACAAATAACAAGATTCATTTATCTAATTCTGATCAACATATGTAAGATATAAGAGATACTTGAGATTATTTATATAGTTGCACAATAACTATCCAAGTGTTTACTGGTATATCACATCCTATAAAAAAATTTAAATCAATTATAATATCTACCTACTATACAAATATCATCCTGAAAGAATTGATGGTGTAACAAAATAAAAATAACTCGGACGAGGCCTAGGGGGTGTTTTTACATTGACAAAATTTAGAAAACTAAAATCAGTCACAGGTTCCAAAGTTGCCCAACCCTCCATGGCTTTCACCAACATTCAGGCAGAAAGCCTTCTATACCAGTTTCTTTGCAAGCATGATCGTTTTTATAGCCTCTTCTTTTTTGTTTTGCATATCTGCAGTTTGTGTATCAACTAGATCAGAAAGTCGATCCTCTTCTGTCTTGACCTATACAGTATCGATTAGATAATCACCACGCCAGATAGAACTTTTCCTCCCGCAAATGATTTCCAGGATCATAACTCCAAAGCTATAAATATCAGTATTCACTATGAGATTTGTGTCCCGAACCAACTCAGGAGCCATATATCCCGGAGTTCCCTTTGGTACAGTCAAAACATGGCTTCGATCCCTCTCAATCAATTTGGCTAGTCCAAAATCTTAAATTTTGACATTCAAGTCCTCGTCTAGAAGGATGTTATAAGGTTTAATGTCGAAGTGAATGATATTCGGATTGCAGAAGTCATGCAAATACTCCAGACCTTTGCCTATTTGAATGATGATTTTCTTTCTTGTTTCCCAAGTGAGAGTTTGTGCTTCATTTTGGTGGAAAATTCATTCATCCAAAGAGCGATTGCACATGTATTCATAAACCAAAATTTTGTTTGATTTTTCAGCACAATAACCAATATGTCTTACCAGATTGAAATGGTGAATGTTGCATATTGTCTCAACCTCTGGTAGGAACTCTTTCATGCCTTGGCTAACATCAGAACCTAAGCGTTTCTGTAACCCCCGTAGCCTTCTTTTTAGGTTCTTTATGCTTGTGGTGTTAAGGGTTAGTATATATATATATATATGGATTACTGTCAATTGCTGAAAAAGGGAAGAAGATATCCAGGAACTTGACCAGCAGCCTGCATGCCACGGCATGCATTTTTTAATGTCGCTGTTGTTGCTAATGCCAAAGAATGCAAAGAAAAGAAAGAGAGCAACTAAGAAAAAATGAAGAGTAATCTTTTTACATTACCAACTGAGTTTTACATCATAACTAATAAAGCAAAAGTTCACTGTTGACAACCACTTTACAGACATGTTTTATCCAACATTAATCTAAAGCCATACATTAATACCAACTTACAACAAACATTATAGACACATCCCATATAACCTAGCAGTACAAATCTAAACCATTACAAAATGAATAAAATAAGGCTGCCTCACAAAACTGACAAATGGCAGATTGCAATACACTTTGGCGCCATTACAGATTCAAAACAAGTTGATAAACTGCTACATTTCCAGTTAACTATCAGAATTTAACACTCCTCCTTGATAGTTGGCTAGAAACACCAAGTCTGAATCTAAATTCTTCAAACTTGGCTTTGGAAACGACTTTAGTCATAATGTCAGCCACTTGTAATTCACCCCTGCAGTGCATCAATTCCACTTCACCATTTTGTTCAGCCTCTCTCACTGCATGAAACTTAATTTTGATATGCTTTGTACATCCATGATGCACTGGATTTTTGGCCATTGCTATAGCAGATTGGTTGTCACACATGATGGCAGTAGGCTTGACCTACTTAAGCTTCAAATCTTCTAGAATCTTTCTCAGCCAAACGGCTTGATTCACAGCAGCAGTAGCAAATATATACTCTGCTTCTGCTATGGATTGAGCCATGGTTTCTTGCTTTCTGGAAATCCAACAAATAGCACCACAATTTAGGAAAAATGCATACCCTCATGTCATTTGTTGAACCAACCCAGTCACTGTAAGAAAAACCAACCAACTTGAAGTCTTCTGATCTCCTGAACCACACCCTGATCTCCTGAACCACACCCCAAAGTCAGTATTGCTGTTAGAGTCATGAAAGTGACTCTATTTTGGTGATAAAAATACCCCATTTGTGATTAAAGTGAAGTATATTGAGACAATTAAAGAATTTATGAATTTATTCACGAAAATCGCTTCCTAATATTTTTCTTATGAATTTAACGTGTTTGGAATGATTTTGGAAAGTATATGAGTTGATATTGGGTTGTGGTTTATGGATTGAGAGTGATTTTGTCTCATTTATGCTGTTTAGGGGGTAAAATGTCATGTTTTAAGGGGCTGATTCTGTCATGTTTCAATCATACAGGGACCAAATGGAAATTTGCCAAATTTTGTATAAAACTCCAGTTCAAAGTTCGCAGAAAGGTGGCTGCCGCCCACCAAAACTCTTCACCTTCTCCGATCAAGCTCCGGCGACCCTCCATCTTCATTTCCGGCGACGTTTCATCTTCATTTCCGGAGCTTGATCGGAGAAGGTGAAGAGTTTTGGTGGGCGGCAGCCACCTTTCTGCGAACTTTGAACTGGAGTTTTATACAAAATTTGGCAAATTTCCATTTGGTCCCTGCATGATTGAAACATGACAGAATCAGCCCCTTAAAACATGACATTTTACCCCCTAAACAGCATAAATGAGACAAAATCACTCTCAATCCATAAACCACAACCCAATATCAACTCATATACTTTCCAAAATCATTCCAAACACGTTAAATTCATAAGAAAAATATTAGGAAGCGATTTTCGTGAATAAATTCATAAATTCTTTAATTGTCTCAATATACTTCACTTTAATCACAAATGGGGTATTTTTATCACCAAAATAGAGTCACTTTCATGACTCTAACAATTGCCCTTCACATATCTCAACACCCTTTTTGCAGTCTTGAAGTGAGTCTCGATTGGTTGACTCATAAATCTGGACAACAAACTTGTGACATACATTAAGTCTGGTCTGGTTGCTGTCAAGTATAGTAGGCAACCAATCAAGCTCCTATACAATCCTTCATCAACCTTATCAGCCTCATCACTTTTTGATAACTTCATATTTGGAACCAATGGTAGGTCCACTAGTTTACAATTCTCCATGCGGAACTTCTTAAGGACTTCACTTGCATACTTCCTTTGATTCACAAAAATACCATCTGCATCTTGATCAATCTCTATCCCAAGAAAGTATGACATTTCACCCAAGTCTGTCATTTCAAACTCAGTGTGCATGGATTTTTTGAATTCCTCCACTTGAGCATGATTGCTTCCAATCACTAAAAGATCATCCACATACAGAAAAATGATCATTACACCATATTCGGCTTCTCTAATGTATAGAGTGTGCTCATTTGGACTCCTCACAAAGTCTAAACTGAGCAGGTGGTCATTAATCCTACTATACCAGGCCCTTGGTGCCTGTTTTAGGCCATATAAGGCCTTCTTCAGCAAGTAGACTTTTCCCTCTTCTCCTTGAATCTAATACCCTTCTGGTTGTTCAATATAAACCTCCTCATTCAACCAGCCATTCAAGAAAGCAGATTTAACATCCAATTGATGAATTTTCCACGAAAATTGAGCTGCCACAGCAAGCAGCAATCTAATGGTATCATGCCGGGCAACTGGTGCAAATGTCTCCAGGAAATCTACTCCATATTGCTGAGCAAATCCTTTAACAACAAGCCTGACCTTATGCTTAAGAACTGAACCATCCAAATTTAACTTTTTTCTAAAAATCCATTTTACTTAGATCACCTTCCTGTTTTCTGGTCTGTCCACAAGCTTTCAGGTCTAATTTTTTTCAATCATGGCTAGCTCCTCCTTCATGGCAATCTTCCAGGGTTCTGACTTCATTGCTTTTGAGTAGCTTGAAGGTTCCATTTGTGCCATATTGCATCTATCATACACGTCAACAAAGACCTTGTTCCTCTGATAGAAATCTCTTCATCTGATTCATCCCCTGGATTTTCTTCAACCTAATCAGCTGGAGCTTCACTCAATTGAGGTCTTGTTTCTACATCAACCTTACATTTCTCCCAATTCCAGACTCCACTCTCATCAACTGTAAGATCCTTGGAAACAAGTATTTTCTTTGAGTCAGGAATGTATATTCTATAAGCTTTAGATTGGCTGCTATAGCCAATAAAAAATCCTGTCAAAGCCTTATCCTCCAGCTTTGTTCTTTTTGCAGGTGGTACCAGAACATAGCATATGCTTTCGAAAATTTTCAGATTATCCACTACTAGCTTGACTCCAGTCCAGGCTTCAAATGGTGTTTGACTGATCAAAGCTCTAGTAGGAAGTCTGTTGAGCAAGTACACCCCTGTGTTGACAGCCTCTACCCAGAAGAATTTCAGAAGTCTTTT